TTCAAGATTCTAAACCCTCAATTAACATGAAAGAATATCTGATTTTGGGAGAGGAGCCCTTCATTGTCTTAAAGTTTTGATGTCACCTGAAGTCTCCATGCCAAATAATTTTTCATGTTTGGAAAGAAAGGCTATTTCAGGTGTTTTTATGAAGAAAAAAAAATAGTCTATAAGCTGTGTGCAAAGAGGAGAATTGGTGATGGCAGCTGAAATTTGGCCTGCAGGATGATGTCCTTGGTCAAAGAAGCAAGCAGTGAAAGACTTCAAGGGACTAGGAGCCATAATGAATTTGATTTGATGGTAAGATATCTCTGTGAATGTGGTAGAACAGGCCTGAGATGTCTTGATTTGGATGGAGTAAGTAGAAGAATGAATCTAAATGTTAGCAGATGCACCAAGGTTTTTGAATTTATAGGTGAGACAGTTGTAGAAGAAAAAGGGTAAAGAAAAGACCCTCTGTGCAGTTTCTTCAGAGAGCTAAGAAGCAGATGGATACCCCTCAAAAGTAGTTGATTAGGAGAAGAAAAGCCCAGGAAAGGGAAAGAATAAGATTCCAAAAGGAAAAATGTCATTGGATCAGAAATGGTAAATACAACATGGAATATGTGGAAAAACTCCGTAGGAAATCTAGCTGAAAAGTTATTAGATACCCACTGGGAGTGCTTTTTAATATGCTGTGTATATTTGCACAACACTATGTCCAAGGTATAAAGGGAAGAAAGACTATTAGCACATTCACTAAACTTAATGGTAGTAGCGGGTTACGTTCAAGTATGTGTGAGTGAAGCTTTTACTTAAAGTAAAATAAAACCACTTCAACCTTAAACACCTGGAGAAATATGTAAATTATAAAATAGTGAAATGGAAAACAAGAGTAGGCAAAATGGATCAGAATTGAGAGCTGTGGAAGGATTAGCTAAAACATAGGTGGAAGATAAGAATTGTAAGAGATATGTGGGGACTAAAGGGCCCTAGGGCCATTGGTTCTGCCCCTAATGGATAGACATGTCTGCTGCATAGACGTGAGTAGAGATGACTTACAGGAGTCATCAGTGATGTGGTGAGGGATGTCAAAGTCAATAAGAACTGCTTCTATGAATACTTAAGTAGTGATAGGAAGACCAGTGAAAATGTGGGCCTACTGCTAAATGGGAGCAGGGGCCCTGGTGACACAGGGCATGGAAAAGACTACCTAATGACTTCTTGGGCTCAGTCTTTACTAGTAAGAGGGGCCTTCTAAAATCCAAGGACCCAAAGATGAGGGGGAAAGCATACCATTGGTGGAAGAGGATCAGGTTAGAGAACAGCTAAGCAAACTGGACATATATAAGTCTATGGGCTCTGATAGGATGCACCCATGAGTGCTGAGGGAGCTGGCAGATGTCATTGTGAAGCCACTCTCAATCTTTGAACAACAATCTTTGAACAATCATGGAGATTAGGAGAGGTTCTTGAGGACTGGAGGAAAGTAAATGTCACTTGAACCTTCAAAAATGGCAAGGAGGACCTGGTGAACTATAGGCTGGTCAGCCTCACCTCAGTCCCTGGGAAGATGATGGAGCAACTAATCCTGGAAATCATTTCCAGGCACATAAATGACAAGGTCATCAGGAGTAGTAAACATGGATTCACAAAAGGGAAGTCATACTCGATCAACATGACAGCGTTCTATGATGAAGTGACTGGCCTGGTAAGTAAGGGGAGAGCAGTGGATGTTGTCTGCTGTGACTTCAGGAAGACTGTCTCCCATAAGATCCTCATAGAGAAACTGTTGATGTATAGGCTGGATGAGGAGACAGGTGGATTGAGGTTTGGCTGACTGGCTAGGCCCAGAGGGTGGTGATCAGTGGTACAAAGTCCAACTGGAGGTTAATAACAAGCAGTGTACCCCAGGGGTCAATACTGAGTCCAGTCCTGTTTAACTTCATTAATGATCTGGATGATGGGGCAGAGTGTACACTCAGCAAGTTTGCGGGTGACTCTGAACTGGGAGTAGTGGGTGATATGCCAGAGGGTTGTGCTGCCATCCAGAGGGACATCAACAGGTTGGAGAAATGGTCTGACAGGAACCCTGTGAAGCTCAACAAGGGGAAGTGCAAAGTCCTGTACTTGGGGCAGAACAACCCTGTGCACCAATATATGCTGGAGGCTACCCACCTGGAAGACAACTTAGCAGAAAAGGACCTGGGTGGACACCAGGTTGAACATGAGCCAGCAATGTGTACTTGCTGCAAAGAAGGCTAATGGTAACCTGGGCTGCATTAGTGCTTGCAAGCCAAGGGAGGTGATCCTTCCCCTGTGCTCATCACTGGTGAGACCACACCTGGAGAGCTGGGCCCCATTTCTGGGCTCCCCAGTACAAGGGGGACATGGGCACATACTGCAGAGAGTTCAGCAAAGGGCCACAAAGATGATGAAGGGTATGGAGCACCTGTGAGGAAAGCCTGAGAGCTGGGACTGTTCAGCCTAGAGAAGGGGAGGCTTTTTTTGGTGGTACCCAGTGACAGGACACTGGCAGTTGCCCAGAGAGGTTGTGGAGTCTCCATCCTTGGAGACATTCAAAACCATGGGACATGGTCCTGGGCAAGTGGTTCCAGGTGGCGCTGCTTGAGCAGGAAATTGGATCAAATGACCTCTGGTAGTCCCTTCAAACCTCAACCATTCTGTCATTCAGTGATTGCAATTCATAGGAGCAGTCATAGTGGCTCAGGCCTTAAGGCAATCTGGTTTAATATTTTGTCTGTACATGTTGATATCCCCTGATTCTTACATTGGAAATGACTGCTGAATAACTCCTTATGTACCTTAAAATATCTCAAGTTGGAAGGGACCCATAAGGCTCATCAAGTCCAACTCCCTGCTCCTCGCAGGACTACCTAAAACTGAACCATATGACTAAGAGCATTGTCGAGATGCTCCTTGAACTCTGACAGGCTCTGACAGTGCCCTGACCACTTCCCTGGGGAGCCTGTTCCGTGACCACCCTCTCAGTGAAGAACCTCTTCCTAATGTCCAACCTGAACTTCCCCTGATGCAGCTTCATCCCATTTCCTTGTGTCCTATCACTCCTCACCAGAGAGAGGAGATCAGCACCTCCCCCTCCACTGCCCCCCTTGAGGAAGTTATAGACTGCGATGAGGTCACCCCTCAGCCTTCTCCATTCCTTTGATATTTCTATTGGATTCTATCATGTAAGCCTCAGTTGTCACTTGTAGTATGAAGTGCCTTAATTTACTTAATTGTTCCTTATATGTAAGCTGTTCCATACTGTTGGTCATCTTTGACATAGTTTCTGATGCATTTCCAGTTGTTCTATGTTCTTTCCGAATTAGGAAACAGGAAAATGAATACACACAGTTGGGTAATAAAGTTTTCTGTGTTCTCTTGTTATATTTTCTGAAATTGTATTTGTTTTTTACCATCCTGACCACTGGGCCACTCTTAATTATAGATGTTCTATAGGTGGTGAAAGCATCGAACTTATTACTTTGTATAAAGTTAGGATATATAAATTTGTGTTTGTGTGTGTATTAACTACCAAGTGTCCCCTCTTATAGTTTGCTGCTTTGAATTTTTTTTGCTCTTTTCCTTTCCTTAACATTCAGGTTGGGATTCAGCTAGAGATTAAAGAGCTAGGCATCTGAACCCCTGTTGTAGTTTATAGGAAGATAGTGCAATTACATTTATTTGCTCCTTTTGTTCTATAATTTGTTGCTAAGACAGTTGGCGGCACCATCCAATGCATTCCCCATAAGGAAAGGCTCTACCATGAGAACCTTGTCCAGTCTGTCTTGATTGTGTAGCAAAAAAACTTAATGTATACGTACATATATACATATCTCACTGTTCTTCACTGGTGATTTGGCCTCACTCTGGCAGGTTTCCTGATTCCAGAATGTTTAAAGGACTTTTTTGGGGCTTTCTACGAATTCTTTAAATTACCTCTGACTTGCTTTTCTGAGTATTTTACATTTGTTCTATTAGCATTTGTCCTTTGAGGTTAGAGATGGGTTCAGCTTTTCTAAGTGATACCTCTTTTAATTCCTCTCTACCCTGCTGTTGTAGCCTTATTGAGCTCCTTGTGCCCTTTCTCAAGCTTTTTCTTTTTTGATAATTGTTGTGTATTTGTTCTGACTTCCCATGGGATTTCTCTAAATGTCTTCCCATATTGTGTATATACATTTTACTTTTTAAAATCTTTTTAAATGTAATCTATATGGCTGCCCTTTTTCAAATTAAGCAATACCAGAACTGATCTGTTGTTTTTGCAAAGGTATGCAAATGTTCCTATTCAAGTGGTTCCTCAATATTTTGAGTCAGTTTCTGTTCATTGTTCATGTCAATCAAACTTCTTTAGTTCCCTGATAACTGCTTAATGAAATAACAATTTACAGTTCCTAAAAATTTGCTCTTAGCATTGTACCCTGATATGACTCAAATCTGCATGGTGGTAATTGAACTCTCCTGTTAGTGGGTTTCCTATCTCTGCACCTTTCTAGTCTCCTCCAGACTGGTGCAGTAACCATCTGAGTTGTGTAATACAGAACTATACATCTCAGATTGTTTATTCTTCCTACAGTAACTCTTAAAAAAAGCATGGAAATGGTCTCCTAATATAGGAGAAATATGATTTCCCACCCATCACCACTCCAATCCTATTAACTGTTTTTGAAATGCAGAAAAGACTTTCTCATAATATGGATCTGGTGTACTAATTACTCTTCAAGAATAAATTTATGCTGGCTCTAAAAAACTGTACTTTTTTCCCCCTCCCTCAAGTGTTTTTCCATGTTTTTCAGCATGTCCCACTTCCTGCTGCTTTCACTTGCACCCTGTCTGAAGGATGCCATGAAGATTATGGCTAGTGATTCTTGAGTCTTTTTACTGACCTCTTTTTTTACTTGGTATTGACTATTGTCTATGCCAATAGGTTCATTTCCCTTTCTTTGGCTTCACTTGGAAAGTGTCACATTTGCTATTTCTTTATATTACTTCAGCAGGCTGTGTCTGGGAACTTCACTGCTCACCCCTGCCCCCACTACAATGAAGTCAAATAAGCAGCTGGTACCCTGTCCTGAGGAGGCATTCTACAGATTAGCCAAAACCAAGTAATAAGCACAGTTTTAAATCACTTACTCTCTAGGCTTGTTTAAAATACTTTGTGACTGTGTTTTGATCAGTAATTAGAATTAATAAAATCTATCCTGATTGTATCAAGTATTTATGTTTTTGCATTCTTCATTTAGTGATGCAGTTTTTCAAATACTAATTATTTGTGGTAAAATGATTATATTTTTTCTGATAAGTTTACCAATGAGAAATTATATGACTTATTTGAAATGGGATAGGAAATCTTAAGGCCAAATCTGGGTCTTACTTTATAATATTGTTTAAGTTGGAAATTTCTACTGAAATCAGAACAGAGTATTTTCACTCAACTACTACACTTGAGATTAATTAGATGATGGCTTGATAGGTAGAAGGGTAGTGTAGAGCTTGTGCTTGTTTAGTTTCTTCTATGTATCTGTTAGTATTCAATAAGGGTGTGACTTCCTTAGAACAAGTCTATATGCCTACAGAGCAGTCATTTAAATTCAATTATAGTCCATGGGGTGAAATGATCTCCTTTAAAAAGGAGGTATCTATTAGCAGTATTTTAGACATCCTGTTTAAAAGAGGATAAATGATGCAAATTTCTCACAGATTGTACCTTTAAGTCTCTCCCTTTACTATAGGGAGGTGGGGGGAGGAATGCCACCTCTAAATGGATCAAATATTTTAGAAAGGTTTAGGTCTCAGATTCTTCATCCATGTTAAGTGTCTGAAGTAATGGAATGCAAGTTAATGCTTATCATTCTTTCAGAACTTTAAAAACAAATATACTGTTATTTCTTGTCCTTGAATACATACAGAACATCAGGTTATATCCTGTAATCACCCTGCACACTTATTACTTGTCTGAATGTTTCCTGCAACAGCTGGAAATCTCTCCTTTAGAACCAGAAGAAAATGTAATTTTTCTGACCCACTCACTCTTGCATGCGGTGTGATCTTTGGATTGCATTTAGGAGCTTACACAGGATCAGAAGGGAGTTGCAACTGATTCCTCTGTGCAGGGTTTGAGTACGATATAGCCTGACAGCTTCAGATTAACCTGTTATTCTATGATTGTGATTTCACATACTGTAAGTCAAATTCTAGTGAAGTTGACTGATTCCAGCAGATTGGTTTGGGTGTCTATGTGTATGCGAGTGACTCAAGCTAGTAAGAAGTTCATCACTGAATCACATGTCTAGTTTGTATCTTTCTGCATTTATTGCATAATGTGTGTAATTGGATTAAAGCGTACAGAAAAATGACAAAACTAAACTTTTAGACTTTTTCTGGCTGTAGCAAAGCAAAATTGTCGTGATGTGGGGGAGGGAGCTGTTGAAAGGGAGGCCGAGGGTGTAGTGTTTAATGGTAAGTGATCCATATATTCACAGGGGCCGTGGAGGAGTGCCTCCACCACCAGCAGGAGTACCCAGAGGGGCACCAGCACCCAGAGGAGTGCCTCCCAGCAGAGGACCAGTCAGTCGTAGCCGTGGACTTCTAGCACCTAGAGCAAGAGGAGTACCTCCGCCTGCAGGCTACCGGCCCCTTCCACCACCTCCAGCACAGGAGACATACGGTGAATATGTAAGTCGAGCTGTTGACATACTGTGCATAAAGTGTATAATTTTGGAGGGATGATCCTATCACTTTAGAACTCAGCAGAATCTCTTTAATTAGTACCAAATTAAGTCTTGCACCCACAATCTATGGTAAATGTGGACATCTCTCGTCACCTTTTCAGACTCGAACTGTTTCATATTAATAAAACTTCAGCTTATATGTACTACCATAAAGACATTTACAGTGCATTTGGCAAAACAGTTATGTACCTCTTAAACTTAGGTTTCTGCTTTACAAAAATCTGAAAAATCACATTGTTAGTAGATTTTTAATTCTCAACTAAAACTGAGAAAAGTATTCTACTCTTCTTCCTAAACCTATCTTAGTGGTCATATAACTGTTCAACAATTAGACAATTAAAATATTTTTATGAAAGCTTCAGAAATGATCCTAAAATTTTAACAATGTACAGTGTATCTCAATAAGCCATACATATTTACCTTGATTTTATTCTATTAAAAATTTAGAAACATATCAAAATACTTTATATTGTACATGACAAAATTATAGACAGTTTTGAATTGTTAGGGTAAATGTCATTTAAACTGAACTTTCAGAGCAGTGAGGTAAAGAAAAAATTAAATCAAAACTATCATAAAAATGGATTTAGTCTTATAGAAAAATAACACTTTCAAGGACAGTGCTTTTAATGTTTTATGTATCTTAAAGTTTTTAGCATGCCCTCTTTACAGCCAAGTCTATCTGGACTCTCTGTTGTTCAGACTAGAAAAAAGGAATTCCTGAGCTCCAGAAAATTATTTTGCTATTTAGACATTTTTGCTTTTGTCTCAAACTTTCTTCCACCTACCTTCTCCCTCTCTTCTTTCACCCCTGCAAACCATCTAAATCAAATCTCAACCCTTGTTCTTTTGATCAGAAACCTAATTTTCCATATATGGAAAGCTTTATGCAGAAAGAAGTTTAATGTCATTAGTGCAAACATTTATACATGTACCTGAACGATTCAGAAGAAATTAATGTAGTTTATTAATGTTATGAGAACTAGTACTTGAACACTATATCTAAATGTCCCCTGGCTATATGTGACTTGACTAGTCAAGGTGGCTACTGAAAATAAGTGGTTATTTCACAATGCTTTCAAAGGAATTGGTCCTCATTAAACAGCCTGTTTCGAGGGCATACACTGTAGAACACATGATGTGATAGAAAATAAACCTCTTTGAGTTTTATATTTAAATATAAAATATATTTTCATATTTATATATATCTGCTGTTTATAGCATGTGTATATAGAAGTGGCATGGATATAACAGCTGTTTGAATCAGTATCCTGATGTATGCTTTACTTCTGAGAGAGAATAATTAGAAAATAGCACTACAAAGAAAAATAGTGCTGTGCTAAATAACTTCTAAAAAGAATGTTCTCTAGAACTGGATCACTTACCTTCCAAACAAGATATCTTAACTGGGATAGATGTATTTGAAGCTGTAACTGATAAAGCAATGCTAGCTGGTCCATTTTAAAATTAACATATTTTCTGTGTCTCCTTTGTTAAAATGGAGATTCATTAGAATAAAGTTTTGCTAGGACATGAACCATTAGTGTATTGTATGTTAAATGTTAAGTCTAATGCATGGTGTGTTTTTCACCTGCACATTTGCAGTACATTTTCAAAGTGCCTTAACTATCTTTTACAGGTTAAAGTAACATGGTAGGAGTCATTACTAGTATTTCTGTCCTTTCCTTGCTAATTAGTGTTTAGCCATATCTAGTATTAAGTGCTGGTTTGCCAACCTGAATATCTGAGCAGGGTAAGGTGTCACTGTTTGAGAAGTGTCTGTAGAATGAGAACATCAGTGAGATTGTGGGTATCGTAAGAAGTTATTTTAAGCAGCATATAACTTCAGAGCCTTGGAGACTGGGATATCCAGAGAGGTTAAGGTGCAGCCTTTAGAACTTTTCCATTGAGGATTGGAAAGGCTGCAAAGATTCATGAAACTTTTCATTCCCTTAGACTTACAAGCCTCTGCTTTGTACTCATTAAAATAATGTGAAACTATGCAACTTCAGAAAGAAGCAAACTCTATTCTGGATGGAAGCCTTCAACCACTTGCCTTCTTGTAACTCTGTAAATATCTCAGAGATGATGCAGGGCTTTCAGTACATAAAGTCCTTGCTTATTTCCTCTGTGGTATACTATTAACCATACCTTGTGACAGAAAACAAGGCCATCATTGAGTCACAAAGCCTCCCTTTTCCTTCACTCCTTTGCTAACTTTTTTCTGTAATCCTTGAGACCAAGGATCTACAAGGATCTTACTCAGTTCTGCCTCCTGCCTATCCTAATCTCTCTCCTTCCTCTTCTTGATTGTTTTTTAAAAGACAATATCAAAATGTGAAGCGGAATATCTACTTCATTCTGAAAAACTGGAAGGGTTAATTCTGGAGGCAGTATCTCACACAGGGAAAATCATGCCACAGGCAAAAAAGTCATTCATTTGAATTTAGATGCGTTTTAACGTGGCCTCAAGATGAACAGAACTAGTGACCACTGCTGTCCCATGCTTGGAGCCCATAGGGGAGTTGTACAGGACTTGCCTGTTACAGAAAGCTCTACACAGAGGTAGACTACCTCTGTTGTCTGTCAGCTTTCTGGGATATTGGTAATGCTGACTGGATGTTTGATGTGGCCTTCTCTGCTGAAGTCATGCAACCTACTGGACTAGCAGCAATATCTGCACATTTTTCCAGTTCAATATAACTAGATTTCCCACTCCAGTGTTGCCAGGTCTCACTTACGTACCTCAGCACCACGACCCATTCCTCCTGGGACCTCACCATATTGTAAGTACCATGATGAAGTTTTTGAAGCGACTAAATGATAGTTCCTTATCGTTTTCTGTGAACACTGTCCTTTTAATAGCTGTAGCATCAGCTTAGACGATAGCAAAAATTCAGGCCTCTATAGCCAGCCAGCTTTATAATCACTATTCTAACCTCACTGCTCTGTTTGGTGCGATAAACTTTCTCTGAAGGCTAACGTGCCTCCCATTTTTATGTCCTCAACCGCTCAGGTCAGGAGAAAACCTAGTATGACGTGTGAAGCATGGTCAGGATTATTTTTATAATGCTTTGGATAAGGGAAATAACACTAGATGGTTGCTAGATTTATTGAAGCACTTGCAGATAGTTTCAGGGACATTGTTCTCAATTATTTGAGAATTTTTCTCTACTCATTGAACACAACTGTGTAATAGAAAAAAATATTTTCATGTATTTTCAAGTTGACAATTTATTCTATTAAGATAAGAAATAGAAATTGTATTTAACTACTAGCTGGAGGTTTTAAGCTTTTCCGTAACTTTGAATAAACAGGAAATTAGTAACAGTATGCTAGCAGTTCACTGCTTTTAATAGTGTTAATTCCTTAGCCAATGTTCAGTCAAACATAGGTTAGATGGTAACTGTTCAGTCTCAGGTCCTGTAGAGTAACAGTTGCTGCTCTCTGCCTCTTCCTGTTGTCCTCTTCTTACTAGCTTCAAACTTTGAGGCTTTTTCCAAACATAGCAATGTGGCTGAAGCTTTTTTAAGATTAGATTTTTATTTGCTGCTATTTTCATTTTACAAAGGTAAATATTTTGCAAATATTCTGTATTTCAATTCTGTACTTTTTATGAATATATTTGTGATCATGCCATGTCAAGTCACTGTTTGGCTGCTTAAATGTTTTAAATGCAAAGTGGGATTTATCTGAGTTGATAATCAGATTTTTTAGGCATTAAGAGTTGGACTTTAAACATGGATTTAAAACCCGTTGCTGTGGCAGTGTGGAATGTCTGCACTGAAAAATAAAACTCAGCAATCTAGCAAGTTATGGCCAAGACGTGCTTCAACACTACTTTGGAAAGCAATCAGATCTAAATATTCCTCCCTAGTATGTGTGTGGGAAGGTTGTGGCAGAGCTTTAGTTCTCTTTCTGGCAATTTTATTGATATTTTCTTGTGTTCAGACAAAGGTTACCTCAGCAGCAGATTTTTCTAATGCGGTGACCACATGTATAATTTCTAGCAGTTAGTGCTTCAATTAGAATGCTTCAATGAGATTGCTTTCTGTAATAAGAAATTGAATTAAGACGGAATGTCTACCAGTAAGAGACCTAGGGAGCCTTTCTAATGTTAAGTAAATTGTAACTTGAAAAAGAACATTATGAACTATTTCCAATTACATGCAAAGATTTTTTTAATTTACAGACACAGACTACTTAGAAGGGTATACAGAACAGTTGGATACAAAAGAGACGCTGATAACAGACTTCAAAATCTACTCTTTAAAAATTTATGTTTAGTTATTGCCTGATTCTGGAAGATCCTAAAGCTTAGGGATTGCTAAGTTTTAAAAAACTTTGTAGTTCCTGAAGTGTGCATTTCTGGATATTTCCAGAAATATGTTGCTTTTACTGGTGGACAAAGCAGTGCTTCAGACTTAATTCAGACTTAAGCTTGTAATCTTCATACTAAGTCTGTACTATGAGTATACTCACACTAACACACAAATAACATGCAACATTAATTTCAAATGTTTTTATTTGCTTAGTTGTTTTGAGTGTGAAGGTTATTTGTTCTGGTTGAATATGTGCTAGGCTCTTTCTAGATTAAAACAGATGAAAATCTACAAAATAAGAGCTTACAGTCTGTGCATGTTTGCTGCTAATGTCTTTAATGTTATCACTCAGACTTTAGATGGTAGTAGCTACCCGTATTTGTTCTGATTGCCCAATCTTCCCTCTTAATTAAATGATGGGGAGGTGTTATTTCCACGTAACAAAATGGCTGTTCCTTCCCTTTACAATTCTAATTTGCCAAAAAAAAAAAAAATCTTTATTGCACTGATGTTGTCTCATGTTCTTTCTCCTTCAAGTTAATCTCTGCATATACATTTTTTTGAATGTGATAGTTTTTATCTAAAAGGAAGACATTCTACCAGTATTCTGTGATAAAGTACTGGTGTAAGTATTAATTTCAGAGAATGATGAGGAAAAGAAAAAACAACCTTTTAGTTTAGTGATAACAGCCTTAAATTTTTCCCCTGGATGGACTTCCTTAGTTGGGGAGAGCTTGAAAATTCATTTCTTATTTGATGATTTTTTTCCAGCAATGCAAATGACCTTTTCATTAAAATGAACTTTTTACCCTCTTTTTTCTTCCTGTTTCTCTGTCTTGTTCTTTTCGAAACATTTTTAATTTCCCCTAAAGAGGGCTCAAACACTAGTCTGTCATTGTCACTGCCAGCAGACTATAATTTAAAGCCACCATTTCCTATTCCCCATGAGCAAGGGTATGTTTAAAGTACTTAATTATTGGAAACTCAGATGAGCAAGGCTTAGCGTGATTTATAATGTTTTGGATAGTGCAGGGGTTTTGGCAAAGATTGCTTTCATTGCTTTTATCTTTTGACCTGTGATAGTAACTTACTATTTAATATATTTGAAGGGTGCATATTTACACATTGCCTTTGGTTCTGTTCATGAAAAATTTCTGCACTTTGCACTGAACAATTACTGTTACCAGTGCTGCTCTTTGGGTTTATATCAACTGCGGGCACTATCGTTGAGACAACTGTAGGCAGAAGCTCTCTGTGTGGGGAAATGTAATGTGATTCTGGCTTACAGGCTGTCTTAATAAAGAATTATTAATAAAGGTTTGAGATGTTAGAGTAATTTCATATTTTTTTCAGAAAATCTGTCTTGTAATTCCAGCTGTTCCGTTAAACTTTGGGGGAAGATTCTTAAGACTGAAATTAACAGAAGGCAGGACAGTTGCTCTTGATACCTTCCTGGTTGATATTTCACATGTGTGGAAAATACCTATAGTTTAAGTTCAGCATTTTCAGCTCATTTTTCTTCTACATTTTTGTTGTAAGCACAAACTGTACAGCACACTTGCCTTCTTTTAATCGGATTGAATGTGATGAGAGTTAGTTTTCTAGGTTATCCTGACAAATACAATAATGAGTAACAGAAATAAAATGCTCCCATTCATGGGATGAAAATACTATCTTGTTTGGGTGCTTGGTTTTTGGAGTGGGAGAGGAAGTATGGCCTCACCAGTAGACTCTTTCTGATTACTGAGTACCTCTAGGAAGAGTTATTTAGACTTACATAATTGGAGTAGAGGGGAAGTCCATTGTATTGCAGTTGGTAGGTAGTAGGAATGCAAATGCTGTCATCCATATGAAGAAGAATAATGGCTTTAAATACAGAAATGAATGCTCTTATAAATACCTGAAACATGCTGAAAAATAAGCAGGAAAAAGGCAATTAAAATATTCTTATGAAAGTGTAATTCCTCCTGGATTATACAGAAAGAAATCTGTATAGCAATGCTTGTCAGTGAATCTGTGATGTACTTTAGTACAGGATATCTGTGCATATTTAAGTTCTGTCCTGTCCATTTTCATTATATATATGTAAAAATGATAGCTATTTTCATTGAAGTTAGCATGATATTTTATAGTACTGAAACATGCCAGATGGTCAAGCACATTTCACCTAGATACTAAAAGTTAAAGAAAACATTTATTGAAGCCGCAAGAGGTCTGTGTTTCAGAAAATACTCAAGTAGTGTGGATTTAATCTAAAATGTAAACCATTCTGCCTTGACCAACCTTATTTGTAACCTGAAAGTTTTCAAATACTGTATGACTAAGAGAAAATACTGTGTCAGACCTAATTCAGGGAAAGCTCTGAAACATACTTCAGCTGCCCCTGCCTAATTGCTACTTCAAGGGAATAGTGCACAGTAAACAAATGTTTTGGAATTTCAATCTCTTATCTCTTAACAGAACAAGCCACTGAAGGCAGCTCTTTAAACCTACTCTATTTTTGCAGCATGTTGCACATGAATTTTATCTTGGTTTTAATGTAAATTTTTGGTTTTATAAATGTAAATGCAGCAATAAAAAGGAAGAATTGATCTATTTAAGCAGATTACAGTAATTGCAACGGCACAGGTTGATCTTTTTAATGCTAAGTGACATGAGTCCCACATATAAACTACAAACCAGGTATCTTTCCATTCAAAGCTTATAAGAGCTACTTTCAACAGTATAATAACATAGGGCTTAATTTCTGCAGTAGTCAATTGATTTACACACAAAATGGTAAACAGTAATGAGTTCTGGGCAAAATTTCTCTGGAAGAGAAATGCTGATACTAGAAACACTGACGTCTCATACAGCATGGACCTCCCCAAAGTTTTCCTTTTGTTCTGCTGGACATCTTGTTAACATAAGTCTCTTCCTATTTCAAATTTACTTTGTTCCTTTGTCTGCAAGAAGTCATAGAATACACCATAACTTCAGACTAGTCTGTTTCCCCCTTCTCTTTCATGATCAGTTTTTAGTAAAATACTTAACATAAATGTGAAGAATAGGACTGATTGCTTAAGAAATCTCCAGTGATTCCTTAGTGGCAAAGCTTTCCTAACATATTAAAAGGTTGATTTCCGTCCTCTGCTTTCATTTGTTGTCACTGCCGGGTGTGCACGGTTTGAAGTTTGCGAGTCCCTCTTAGGAATGGCTGGTTCACAGTTGGGAGATTCTATGAGAGGAGACCAAATGTCATGTAAATGTTCTGGAACAGAGCAAATAAGTTGGCTCAGGCAGCTTCTGCTGTTGATCAATGTCTGTATTGTTAACAGATGTCTGTGTATTGCATCAATAAGTAATAAAGTGCTTGTTCGTAAGAACTGCCAGGAGGCAATGGTTTTGTGGGTTTAGTGTGTCGCTTATCACGAAAAATCCATATTCATATCACATGGGCAAAGAAAATGCTAAGACTCTATAAAATAATTTCTAGTTTCAGGACAATTGTCCTCTTCCTGAAAGAGGAAACAATGCATTTCCTCTTCAGGTAGGACTATCCATGGATCTCTTTGCAACAGACAATTGGAAGAGTCCTCGTTTCTTCTTCCAGACCTGTGAATAGGCTCTCACTCACTTGTGCCTGCAATTATTCATAGGCACCCTTGTACTAATCACTTCTGGGAAACGATCATGTTCACTGATCTAGTGGTGGTGAAGCAGTATGGATGTGCAGATTGCCTGGTTTTCCATAGAAGCAGTTCAGATGACTGGAAAAATGCTAAAAACTCTCTTGGCAAATTCAGTTTCCTATCAGTTGTTTTGAGGATGTCATTGGCTTCTGATATAGAAAGCTTTCATTACAGTGTCTAGAAAGCTGTCAGATTCCAGTCATTGGAGATGTTTTCTACTAGAGTTGGACAATCCATTATTTGTCATCCCTACCTAATTGATACTGCTAGTTGGTTTTTTCTGTCATCACTGAAAGATTCTTAAAGGTTCCTTTTCCTGGGAAATAGTTTGTTCTTTCATGAGACTTTATCCGTACATGCCAGGGTTTGATACACACTTATTCAGAGAACACCATATATAAGATGATGCCTGATTTTCATTTCTCTGGGTCCCTGTATCTTCAAAGTGTCTTCTCATTAGGTCATTCTCATCTGGCAAAACTGGACGAGATACCTCTAAATATCCATTGAGGTCTTTGGCATATTTGGATAGGATTTAGATGTTAGGATTTCCTAGGAATCAGTACGATGGAAGAGCTGTTTCTACTTTTCATGTGTTTAGCTCAGTTAGGTTTATTACTGGATGAAACAATAAATCGGTGACAGTTCTTTGGATTTCTGTAGTTCATCCTTCTCTGGGAAAACACAGTATCATTGTCACTTGTTTTTATCTTAACTTCTGTATGGCTGGTAGCTGGAGTTAGTAGCTTGTTCAACTTGGTGTTTAAGTCCAGTGCTATTTTGGGAAGGGTGTTACTACAGTGTTACTTTAATGTGGATAATGTGGGAGGAGTAAGAAATCCTTACTTTTAGTTTCTTAATGGATGCTAAACTCCCACAAGTTGAAGAGTAGAGTATACAGAGGGCATTCAAAGAAGTAAAACCGTCATTCTTACTAGTCTTATCTCTAGGGAATTTCTTTCCTGTACATAGTCTATGTAGAATATTGAATTTATTGTCCGGAAATAAGTCAGCTACCTAAGTCAGTTGCACAATTTTTATTCAGATGTTTTGATTCCTGAGATGCTTCCAGAGCTTTCCTGAAGATCAGTAGCTCACTCATCTCAAATTCAAGTACAGAGACATGAAGCATTTGAACTGTCTCTGCACAAGCCAGTGTTAACTAAAAAAATCTTTTTGAAGCACATTGCCAGTAGTTCAAAATGCCTTTAAAGTAAGTATAGTCTTACATGTGTGTGACCTTCTGAATGGAAGTAGTCACTATTAATATCATCAAGATTTTGCCATTTCATGGTGTACATATGTCATATATGCATTGCAGGAGAGTATTGTCTTTCATATTTAGAACTAGATTACTACTTTGTTTCTGGAGTGTGGTTATGGTTAATATTACCTTTCTTTTATATCATTTCAGGAGTATGATGATGGTTATGGAACTGCATATGATGAACAAAGCTACGATTCCTATGATAACAGCTATAGCACTCAAGCACAAAGGTAAGTCTCCAGATCTGCTGTAACTACATTTGAAATATTCTACAGCTGGAAAGTTAGTTTTTCTTAAAGATTTTCTCAATTTCATCTTAAACAGCAAAAATGTTATAAGAGGCTTATTAGAAATAACCCCCTGTGTTATTTGTCTCTAGTAGCACATAAATATAAAAGTCAAGTTACTGAGTAGCTGAAAAGAAACAGAAATGAGAACTTGAAACAAAGAGTTTTAGTGATGCCAAATTATAAATCAGAAAGTTTTCAAAAGTTCAGGAAATTCAGGAAAATTCATTTTGGGAGGGAGGGGGAGCAGGGAGGGGAGAAGAGAAAAAAAACTTTATAAAAGGTACTAAATCATCTGAAAAACAGAGCTGATTGCATTTTCTTACTTCTTAAACATGATTATATTCCAGCAATTTACCTTTATTTGGCTGTAAAAAAAAGTACACCCTTTAGTTTGTTTTACTCCTTTGTGGAATTGTCTTTGTGACAAATTTCAACCTCGCCATTTGTGTTCCTTCCCCCACTTCATTCCCAACAGTATTTTTAAGCACTTCTGATTTATTTTCTTAAAATTTTGCCTTCTTCAAAGGAGTCACTATTTGAAAACTCCATGAATTACAAGGAATAGTAATGTGTCCCAATGGTAGGAAAAATGCCATGAAGTACAAACTACTTGTATTAGGTGGTAGTTTGAACTTAATGGCAAGTATCACATGACACATTATTTAGCAGCTTGGCTGATCGTCCCCCCTATTAGGTATTTTTAATGTGCATGTCTGGAAAGGGACCTTCTGTGCACCTTTTACTGAGTTGTAATTTATTCCACTCTTTCTTTTAGACCAACCATTCATAGTTTGATCAGTAGTAGATTTTGTAATGTCATTGAGAATTTCTTGAAACTTTTATGGCAATAAGCTTCAAATGGTTGAAACGAGACTGTTGAGAAAATGGTAAAGTAAAACAAAATGCTCTAGTTCTGCATTTCTGCTTTGGTTATTTGGAGTGATTAGAGCTTCAAACCTTGCCCTCTGGGAAAAGAAAACAGTAGGAAAGGGAGATATTGGTGGATATTGTGATGTTGATAAATAGATACTGATTAGACTGTTTTACCTTCTGCTAAATATTCAAGACTTTTTTTACAATGTAGCCTTATCTAAAATAGTACAGAACTGTTCACAGCAAAGTTGAGATGTTTACACCTGACATCTGCTTTGCTGTAGTGTTGACAGACCCAACTTAAATTTTGTTGTATACATGAATATTTTCCTGTGCCCAACAATTTAATCAATGTAAAAAAGCTTAGTGGAAAGTTCAAGTGTCATTATTGTTGAGAACAACATAATGAAAATATATTTGTGTCTGATACTTGGCTCCTACAGAGTCTTGTAAGCTACTGAAAATTGATAAAAATAATATGACTTAAGAAACCAGCAGTGTAGGACCTTCAAAATACGAGGCTCTGTAGGATGTTACATTTAGAGAGCAGCTGCTGGTAATGGATTTTTTTCCAGAAAGAAAATTACCAAAATAGTCCTCAACTTTTATGTTGGTAATTCTGTTCTGTTTTACTGCTTCTAGTGTTGGTAAATGGGTTTATTGCACACAAACATTTGGACTTCATTACAAAATCATTTGCCTGAGCCAAAACTAAACATTACTTGGATTTGATTTTTTTCCACTTTAAGAACATTGTCACTAAGAGTTTTTTTTCCTTTGAACTAAAATTAGCAAAAAGCAGATCTCCCAAGAAACGAAATTGCTCTTGTAAAGGACTGATACGTAACAATATATATAATATTTTCAGATATAATATGTGCACGTGCTTAGCCCAGTCTGGAAGAAGATACTTCACGAAATGATTGCTCTGCTTTGTATTTTACCTGTACATTTTACCAATACATATGCTGTTAGATTTTGTTGAATTCATTATCTTCTGAATGATTACTTCATTTTTTTCCCCTGATTTTATTAAGTGCTGCATGGTAAAAGAAAACAAGAAATGATTCACTTGTACATTTCTCACGGGGTATCGACACTCATTTTCTGGCATATTTTCTGGCTTGGCAAAAAGATTTTTAGGATTGTATTGGCAGGCAAAACCTAATAACTATAAACAGCCATCTGAGCTACCTAGAACAGCATTCCTATCTTTAATCTGAATATCAAAGGGTAGCCCATATTGCAAAATGTCATTTTGTAACCACTAAGAGATACTTATCATATTTAGGTGCATGACAATGTCCTTACTGTGAAGGAAATTAGGGAAAAGTGTATTGTTTTCATAGTTTAGCCTTACATCATTCTTGATATTTTGCCCTCATAAAGCATGGAAAGAAAACACATTTGCACATAGAGGGCATTCACGTGTTGAAAATGCATCATTTAGTGACTAGCATGTGTAAATAACTTTCCTCTTTCCTGTTGTAAGTTGAAAGTAGTAATCTTAAAAAGTAATAGTATTTCTAGTATGTCTTCTGATATTTTCTCTAGAAGATTGTGATATTAATGATGTGTATTAAAGAGGAAATTTGAGAAATAGCTAGTAAACTGAAAAGATGGGTTGGCTCATTAAATTATTTGCTGTAGTTTTTCAGTATATGAACCCTCTTCCTGCACCTCATCAAACTTGGTTAATGTTCACAAGTGTACTTTGTGTACAATGTACATGTGTGGTACAGTGGAGACAGTTGAAATACTCATTTTGTTTTTAAAGTTTTTGCTTATTTTAATGATTCCTCTGTTAAAGATGGGAATTCTCCAAATTTGACCATTCAGTACAACACATGACTCTCCTTTACTGTTTTTAATTTTGATGTTTCTAGTGTATTTCCCAGAAGTGTCCAAAGCTGAGATGGACTAGAATGGGTGATATGTTCGGATATGAAGAATAGCAGTTCTTCCTTTTTATAACCTAACTGCTTGCTGCTACCAAATCATGTGTGTTTAAAAGTGTAATGGCATTTTATTTGACATTGTGTGAGACTATCCTTGCTTGTGCTTGGCAATCTGAAGCTTTAGTTAAAACCTGTCACAGCAGTAATAAGGAGAGAAACATGAAAATTTTCTCCAAGTTCTCATCTACCTTAATGCTCTATAAGCCTATAAAAATAGTTTTCCTTTAAAATATTTTCTTATCGACAGTTTTTGTTTGTGCAACAAAGCCCCAAATAGTGCTTCAGGATGTCTTTTAACACAATTATTTTTTATTATCAAAAAGACTTTAAAAATATCCCTTGGAGCTGTACTGAGCTTGACTAGATATCTTAACTGATTTTTTAGAAGAGATCTGACTAAATTATACATAGTTTTTTGCAGAGGATTGTTAGATGATGTTTTTACCAGTATAAACTGGGGTGGTTAATTAACTGGGCTGTTCAGTATTGTTATAAAAAACCAAAGCAATCTAAAATTAATTTAACAAAATATTTCTCAGTTTCTGAAAAACCAAAGGCTAGCAAATACTTAAAGCAGCTGAGACAGTTTTACCTTAATAGAGCATAATGAACACTGTCAAAAGCCATGATCATCTGTGGTTGATGGTCAATGCCTAGCTAAGGAGAGCAGCAAGACTAGGCTGAATGTTACTCTGTCATGCAGGACAGATTTCACATGATGCAGTCAGTAATTCCTTCATAAAATTTCTTTTACATACCTATGTAGTAACTTAACATGTGCAGTTGTATGCCAAAAACCTTTTTGGGATCTTATGGTAGAATGTGAGTTACAAATGTGAAACCACGCTCATGTGACTGCCGGTGCTGATATTTTCTTATGTCAGATGCATGTAGATTTGTCAGCTCCCCTCACCGGTGCATATGCATGCTTACTTACACAGCCTAGCTTAAAGGACTCTTAAAGGACTTCCCCAAATCTGTCTAGAACTTTAATCCCTTACTTGGATTTACTGCAGAAAGTAGTGGGTGTTTTAATGGCCTGATGTTAATACTAGACCAATTTTATTATGAAAACTCAGAAGAATATTGTGGAGGAAGCAGGAGCATTTACTTGGGTCTTCATTTAAATTTGTAGATCAGTTAAAACGTTTTCAGCATGAAGAAAAATTCTATTTATTTTAAATCTCTGAAATATGTTTCAAATTGAGCAAAAGTGCTTTTGTCCCTTAGTGGCTCCATACATGATCTGCACAAGTGTTTGTGAAGACAATAACAGGGCAAAGGGAAATGGATGCTAATAAATCAATTGGCACTGTCAGTTCACTGTTTAATGTTCTCTAGAATACATAAGATTTATCACTGAGGAATTGTAGAATAATGGTAGTGTATGGAAACAAAGTCCACCAGGGAGATGTACTACATCATTCGGATTTAGCGCTGCCATCTGCTTAATAGCATTGAGATGACTGCAGAGGTACTTATGATCAACCATTCATAGCAGTGACAGATGCTGCAGAGAGTTAACATGCCAAAGAATGAGGTTTGTTACTAAAATTCAGATTATATGACAAGGTTGCCGAGAAAGGGGGCTGGGTTTGTTACCTCTCCAACAACATTAAAGGCTTACTGTGTGCTTTTAAGTTTACCATCAAGAGAGAATGGCTAACACAGTTACTGTAGTACAAAAAAATGTGGAGAACCCCATCCGTCTGCTTCATGGCACTCAGAAGTTTCAAATAACTCCTTTAGGCTTGTCTGCTAGTATTTAAAACTGGATACTTCTTTTCCTGAAAAAAAAAAACCACCTGCTTTTATCTAGCTTTCTTGTAGGTTTTTCTTACCTACAACAGATCAGCAGTTTCAACTATAAAAGGAATAGTTTGTATAACTATATGCCTCTGTCTGTTTAGGGGCAAAAGTAGTAAGTCATTGATGTAGTAATGTAGTCATTTTGTGTTTAATTAGAATTTATAATTTGAAAGCTGGCTTAGGTCTTCAGTCTTGGTGATCTCACCTTCACTCCGTTGCAGAAGAAATTAATCTAAACACTGATATAAGGGGAAATATTAGGACTTAAGGTAATTGCTGGCATTGTCTACAGCATTATGC